TACAGTGTTGTCCATAATTTTTGCAACCACTGTAAAAAAACTCTAAAACGCCTTTTGGATAAAAATACTTCAACTTATATCTCAGTTTACGTGTTCGAGGGTTTTTCGAGAAAATATTTTTAAAGCCCTTTTATTTAATAATGAAAAAACGTTCGAAAAATAACTTTTATAGGGTAATTTTTTTTAAGTAAATAAAAAATATGCCGTTAAAGACCGTATTTTTGTTAGTATACCCTAAAAATTTTGTACAAATTAAACGAACAGTAGCGAAGATACAGCGCTTCAAAGTCGGTAAAAATAGCCTCTTTTTGAATATTTTGCTGAAAAGTGGTCATTTTTGACGACTTTGAATTGCTGTATCTTCGTTGCTGTTCATTTGATTTGTACAAAATTTTCAGGGTATACTAACAAAAATACGGTCTTTAACGGCATATTTTTTATTTACTTAAAAAATTACCATAAAAGTTATTTTTCGAACGTTTTTTCATTATTAATTAAAAGGGCTTTAAAATATAAATATATATATATATATATATATATATATATATATATATATATACCATCCTTGTCAGCAAAAATCACCATTTAAATGAATCTAACTTTGTTAATTACTTTTTGTTATCGGAGTTAAAGTTTTCCAAATCTTGAATTTTTTTAAGTTAAATCATTGAAAGCCTACAGCAAGGAAATGAATCACACTATGTTATTTACAATAGTAGATAGAAAAGTTCTCACTGCTGTAACTTCCACAAGTGTTTCAAAAAGATGTTATTAGAGTTCGGAATTTCTTTTTCATGCATGGATACGTTCAATGGAATGGCATATAATTTGCCATTTTAAAAAGCATCATTCCCAAAAATACACACGAGGCGAATGAGTTTTTTTCACATTTTTGGTTATGTATTTGTACATTTCAATTTTGGCTATAGGATATGCAAGAATAATATTCCCCGTCGAATAGTGTGAAAATTGTATAGTCGTTCCTTTTAAAATAAGAAAGTTGTTGGCATTTAATGTGCAAAAATGTAAACAGAAATACCAAACACCATGTCTAACATTTTGGAATACTATTAATGGCTCTAGATAGGATACTTATTTGTTAACTGTTTATGGGTGAAAATCAAAAAATCTTTGGAAAACGACCTACAACAATTAAAAAACTAAAATGTTGCTTTTTGTCCATTAAACTTTTTAATATTCTAAAATAAAGATTTCGCAACATAATAAAGCTTATCTTTGAGATCAAGGAAAGGTAGTTTTTTGTTATGTTGATAATTGTTGTCTTCTGATCTCAATTATGTCTAGTCGGTAACAGTATAGTTTGTCGGGAATAAAGGTTCTGTAAATGGAATAATAATCAAAATATATGTTTAAAAAAATACTTATAGACTATATAAGTTATAGTAAATACCATTATAATCAAAATTGCAAATATTGGTGTTATACATCAGAAAAATGTAACAAATCTCATATCGACATCAAAATTTTACCGCTAGAACAGTTACCGATTAGACATCGTAAAAAAATACGGGAGCGTTTTTATGCAAACAAGCCTAAATATATTTTTTTAATGCATAAACAGAAAAACTTACCTGGTTTGAATGACACATAAACACTAACTCTAGCACACTAACCAACAAATGACAGGTATTACGTATCCTGGCGGATTTTAGGCGAAATTACAGTTATCGTTACCGACAGGATGCGATCAAAGCAGACAGTCTGTTACCCAAAGGCTGGATCTTTAAAACCAAATTGTTTTTAAATAAAATGTAATTTATTTAATACTTGGTGTTAGTTTCTTTAAAGTGATTTACATTTGTCCTGTTTTTAAAAATGATTTGATTGAAAAATCTAGCGTAAAATTGTAAAACGTAATAAGGGACGCGTTACCGACGAGACAAAATAGCTCTTTGTTTTTCATTTTAATCGATGTTTTTAAATCTGGGTAAATATTTAATATAAATCTCGTATAATTAACATGCAGAAATAATACTAATAAGTTTTGAGACACTTCACTTCTTTTTCTAATTTTTAATTAGCCAAAGACGCCTACCTAAACATTTTTTGATTTTTACCCTTATACATTAAAACATTTTTTAACATTACAATTGTTGGTAATACAGATTTTTAATTAGTAACTCCATCTGGCAAAGTTTTGGAAAAAAATAAATATATCAAGAACAATTAAAGATAGAAAAAGATTCAAAATGTAATGGCTCCAGAATTTTACGTAGAATTCAAAAATGTAATATTATTTATAGTGTTCCATATGAAAAAACTCAATTCAACCGGAAGTATTAAACATATTTTGAAAAAATAGAGCACATCGCGCTTTAGGTGCAACCAAAATTTCAGATTAATGTCTCTTTAAGTGCTTTATAAAGCTCTAATGAATCAGTTAGTTGAATCACCCTGTATATGTAATTTATATTTTATTTATTGCTATTACTATTATTAATTAAATATTATATTCTATTAATTTTTCTTTACGTTTCTATTTATTTTTTAACAAATAATTTTAAATTTAGATACTGTTTTAGGTTTAGAATAGCAAATTATTAAATAATTAATTATTTAATAAGGCTAAGAAGTAAGACTTTATGTGCTGAGCTAAAAGTTTGAAGTCCGACGCTTTAGCGAAGGCCTACAATTAGTCGAAGCATAAAAAGACACGTCTCAGGCTGAGACTCTCAGCTGAATGGCATACAACATTTTATGTTTAAGGCACAATGTTATTTGTTAAACTATAAATTAAACGTACAATTATAATAACAATTTTTAAAAGTATATAGTGAGGTAAGATATCTTAGACCTGTCAACAGTTATCGAATTTTTTATTAGACTGTAAAAAACTTCACCTGATTGGTCTAAATTATTTTTACAGCCTATCAAGGTAGCACTCAGACGTCATTTAAACGATAGCAGATGTCAGGGTTGAAAATAATCGACTACTTTGGTAGTGAGCATTGACAGTAATAAAGCTTAAATTACAGAACGATTGAAGACAAAAAATTGTTTATATTGGTAAAATTATATATGTAGCTTTAAAATAAAAAAGTAAAGAAATATCCAAAGTAGTTTCTGAGTTTGTAACGAACGGGGCATGGGGGGCACACATTAATAATTAAAAAGAATATTAAAACCACAAAAACTACCTTTGGCCAAAACACGTGATCATTCAGTTTAAAGAAATTAAGTTAGGACCCCTTTTTGTTGTGAATACGGTTCTGGATACGTAAGTACTTGAGCAATTGAAAAGATATTTAAAAAGTAAAGAAAAAATATTAAATTAAAACAAGTTTATTAATAAAGGCAATTAATACAAGAGTTAATTATTGTTACTGTACATTAATAATATAAATAAAAACATTTGTATTTGAAAAGTATGATTGATTTAAGTTAATAAGGTAAAACCTTAAAAACCCACATATACAATACAGACATGCATATATGTCGCACATCTCAACAATATAAATATTATTATTCACCTACATAAATGGTAGGCTCGGACGGTGTAGAAAAGCAAATACACATTGAAATAATTATCAATATACAGCAACAAACATCAATAATGTGAAACATAAAGTATAATATAACTTAGGTCACAAACAACAATAATAAATGGTTGTGGTAAATAAAATATATAAATAACAATTGGTGTAGTGGTGGACAAGAGTTATGCAATAAAATTGGTGTACAGTCATAAATGATACATAAATACAATCAGGTATAGTCAAGTAATAAAATTATGTCAGTGCAAATCAAATATAGTAAAATAAAATGATTATCAATAATAATAAAATAAGACAATGTCACAAAAACTCACATCATGGGCCCTACCTAGCATTTATTGTAAAGATGGGTGAATTGATACTTATCAGTCTCCGGGCTTGACCCCCTCGACCGATACCAACACCGTTAAACAATAAAAGAAAATTCTAACAAGTGTTTGGTGTGCCAAAATTGCAACAAAGCCTCAACATATTAAATAATGAATATCAATTTATTAAATAAATAAAATAAGATAAACTGTACAAAATAACGTATATGAATGTTAAATATAAATGTGTAGTAAAATGTAAAATTACATTACAATATAATATGTTAAAGTAAATGTAATATAAATATAATAATTATTTACATAAAATAATGATTATGATTTGATTGTCCAACCACCAACATTAAGATAAAATAATTCAACTTATTATTTCTCTCACAAACAAACAAGTTGAATTAATAATAATAAAATATAGTTTAAATTAAATATTAAAGAATTAACCACTCATTATGATATTTGTGACCTCAGATTATAATAACTAAATATAGAAAAGGCATACCTATTTAAATGAACAACACTTTCACCAAAACTGAAGTTATATAAAATCAATGTATTATTAAATTCACTAATGAAAGAATTAAACTAATCCCTTCAACTGTCTAAAATATACTGACTGCTCAAATAGCAAAACCAAACTGTCTACTTCAAATAACAAAACTCAACTGTTTTAAAAATACCCCCTCTTCAGTTTTTAACACGCTCTTTTTATGTTTATTTTTTAAAGACCAGGAACATGAACCAAAACTTGCTTATTTGGTCTTTCTGTAACGAACCCTTAAGTGGTCGTCCAGATGGGAGTCATAAATTATTATTGTATAATAAACAAATAAAGAATGTATGGAAGTGAAACTTATACCTAACACCTAATACAATTTTAAAAACAAATATTTAAAATTAGTCGCATATTTCGTAAAGCTTAAAAATAATAAATTAAGAAATGTTAAAAATTAACTGCCCCGTATATCGTACCATTACAAGTTATAAGTCCATGTCTGAAAAAAGTAAGATGTAATTATGTTTAACACAGTATATTGACTAAGTTAGCCGAAGGTATGCTCAGAAATAGAAGCTGAGGGTAAAACTAATTGTATCGGGCGCGCGTCCCAATGGGTTAACGGGATGTTCCACGTATTTAACGGTGCCGTTGTTTTGCTTGCAGGTGTCAAAATCGAATTCCCGTGAAGTGACTCTAACTGGAGTGGAACGCGAGACATCCGGAGAGTACAAGTGCGAGGTCTCGGCGGACGCGCCTCTCTTCCACACCGACATTCGAGCTGCCAACCTCCTTGTCGCTAGTAAGTTTTTTTGTTATTTTTTTGCTTTTTATTTTGCTTTCATATTCTTTTTAGTATAAATTTACTTATTACGATATTGGATTAAAATACTATGTATTTACTATGTATATTTATAAAATATTACTAAAAAGTATTTATTGCAATGATATAAACTACTCTTTAAAAGTTGCGGAAAAATTAGTATGTATAAACTAAACTGCGCACCACTCAATGTGTCGCAACCAAAAAGTTCGTCCTTTTTCAAAAACGACATAACTTTTTTGTTTCTTGAACAATTTTATTTTGGTCTGTGATATCTGCTAACCCCATCCTCTAGCAATTCATGCTATAGATATTAAGCCCACCGTTCTTCAAGTAAATTTCCTACAGGATGATATGTAAAATGGTGAAAAATTTCAATAACTCCATCCAAGCCCCGTTTGTAAAAAAATATTTTTTTTTACTTTGAAATAATGAAGTATTATATGTTACCTTGAAACCTTTTTCAAATTTTTATATTTTGAATCTTAGCAACGAAAATATGATTTTTTTTTCAAAAGAGTACATTTAAGGCTTTTTGGTAGGCAATACACTCAGTCTTTTTAAGAACAAGAAAATAAGACAAACTTATGGGGCCTAAGCAAAGACAACTTTTTCAAAATGACATTTTGGTGAAAATTTGCGAAAACTAAACCTGAACCGATATTTACGTTCGTGACATCTTTTCTTTATAATTTTGACCTCCTGATTTTGATTTAGTTCTCAAATTTAAGTTTCAGATAAAACCAAAATCACCAAGAATCAAAATTCGAAAACAATTCCCTACTGTTAAATGTCTTAATAAAATCCGATTGCTGGCGTGTTTCTTGCATATTTATGATGAAAATGCCATTTGGGAATTCATATTTTGGGCAAAATTACTGCAATTTGTTTGAGTAGTTAGGATAATGTAACATACACATACACATTTACATTGCGCTGTAGTGATAAGATCATTGATAAGTACCTACCTAATTGGTAATAAAGTTAAATAAAATTATTTTTGTTAATTTTTGAAAATTTTATGCGTAGATATAATCATAATCAAAACTTCAACATTCAACAGAAAAATGTAACAAACAATAACAATAATAACTTTCAATATTTCGTTGGCCCTCCCCTAGCCCGTAATAATTCGTTAACCCTCCTGGGCATTCCCTCGGCCAAGTTCTTTAGAAATTCCTGGGGTTCCCCATTCTTCCTGAATAGCATTTACCAATTCATCCAAATTTTCTATGCGTCCTTTCCTCTCTTTTATCTTCAATTTCATCCTGCTCCACACATGCTCAATAAGATTCACATCCGGAGACAAAGGTGGCCAATTCATTCTCTTAATTTGGCGGGCATTGTCGTCCACCAACACCAATTATTGGCAACATTTTGAGCATAAGGGACCACGATATCAATAACAACAAAATCTCTAAATCTCTCAGCATTCACTCTTTCCATTCATCGCCATTCCACCCCAAACAGTCACTCCTCCACTTCCAAAAGCCACCCTTGCCTTAGTGCAATCTTCTGCGAACCGTTGATTTGGAGATTTGGAGAATTCCCGTAGCTGCAGCAAAGTCCGGCATTGGCATTTTAATAGAAGGAAGAATAAAAGTAACCTGGGTAACATAGGGATAGTTATGTAGGTAGGTAGGTATAACTTATGCAAAAAAACTTCGAAATTTGGAAAAACACAAGCAAACTGAAAAATCAAGAATATCCCTCATAATGGGTTTTTAATGTTTTGCAAGAACTAACTTTCATAATTTGATCCTCGATTTGATCATTCAGTGACATGATAATAACGTACTAAAGATGCAAAACACAGTAAAAAAACAGTAAAAACCAGCAGTCGGATTTTATTGAGACATTCAACAGCCGGGTATTGTTTTCGAATCTTGATTCTTAGTGATTTTCGTTTTATCTGAAACTTAAATTTGACAAATGAATCACAATCAGGAGGTCAAAATTATGAAGAAAACATATTACGAACGTAAGTATCGGTTTAGGTTTAGTTTTTGCAAAATTTCACAAAAATGTCATTTTTAAAAAGTGGTCTTAGCTTAGGCCCTCTAAAAATAATGGAAGTTTGTTGCTTGTCGCTTGTTCAGAATTATTTAAGGAACAATCTGTTACCATCTTATCTTCTTGTTTCTAAAAAGACTGAGTGTATTGCCTACAGAAAAGCCTTAAATGAGAGTGGGAAAAAAATCATATTAACGTTGCTAAGATTCCAATTCGAAAAATTTGAAAAACGTTTCAAGGTAACACATAATACTTCATTATTTCAAAGTAAAAACGAAAAAAAAATATTTTTTTACAAACGGGGCTTGGATGAAGTTATTGAAATTTTTCACCGGTAAACATATCACCATGCAGGAAATTTACTTGACGAACCGTGATCTTCATATCTATAGCATGAATTGCCAGAGGATGAGGCTAGCAGACATCACAGACCAAAATAAAATCTTTCTAGAAACAAAAAAGTTATGTCGTTTTGAAAAAGAACGAACTTTTTGGTCGCGACACATTATGTGGTGCCCAGTTTATTATGAAAAAAACAATGTGGCATATTAAGTAATAATTAAAATAAGGTGGAGCCCAAAATTAATACATATATTTTTACATTTTATAACCAAAAGTGAAAAAATCTGATTTAACACAAATTAAAAAGAATATATAATTTAAACTTTAATGAGTTTTTAAACCACCTCTTGCATTAATAACGGCTTAACAACGTTTAGGTATACTTGTTACAAGGTTATCCAGCATATCTTGAGGAATTTGTACCCAAAGACAGATCCCTAATTTTTCCAAGGGTCTCAGGTCTTGGCTGGTGGTCATCTAGAGCTCGCTGGAGAAAATCTCATGCATTTTCTATCGGATTAAGGTCGGGTGACAAAGGTGGCAACGGCAAATGCGCAATACCAAGGTTTTCTATTGATCCATCAGAAAATGTAAATTTTGCACTACATCAGCGTGAAAAGTGGTAACAACGTTGTTTATAATCTGTTCCTCATAAATTTTACTATTCATCGTAAAATTCGTATTTTCCTCCTAAACATATGCCACCACATACCACAATTGTGCCACCTTTAAATGTCCTTAAATTTGTTGGTGTTTCCGGTGCTGTTTATACACGTACACGTCGACTGTCAAATAGACCATATCTGGACTCGTCAGTAAAAATACAGATTTCCATTCTTGTACCCACCCAGTTTTCATATTCGCCCATCGTAATCTTGCCTGTTTGTGTACGACAGTTAATAAAACTCGTTGAATTAAACGCCTAGAAACCAGATTGTTATTCAGTAGGCGTCTCCTAATCGTTGAAATGGAAATTAAAACTCCTGTAGCATTTTCCAGTTGACGGCACGTTGATAAAGGCTCTGTACGAGAAGATAGAGTCAAATAATGTTCATGTTGTGGTGTTGTTTTCTTTGGTCTTCCACTTCTTCGTCTTTCTTCTACCGATTCAGTCTCTAAAAATCTGTGGTAGTCTAGAAATTACACTTTTTGACACATTAAAGTGAATCGCTACATATGATTTAGTTTGACCTTGTATCATACCAACAGCCATATTTTGTTGAGCTGTGGTTAACTTGCTTCTCTTTATAACTTTATTAAATTTGTTTAGTGTTAGCCTTTGGATGTTATTTAACTATCACTGTACCAAAACAAAATGTGCATTATTTTTGTTTTTAAATAATATGTCATAATACTGCATTTATTTACATACATACATTTTAAGACATTATATACCTGGGTTGTTCAAAAAATTCAGGGTTTCCTAACTTTTAAAGAGCAGTTTATTTAAAGCAATACAAAAGTTCCAACAATGTTGCTGTACGCCCTTATATCCGCCTCAGGAACATTGTATTTGTTATGTTACTAGCCAGATAGCCATATAGGGCAAAAATAAAGTTAAAATTGAGATATGCAATTTTTATATCCAGCACGTATTTGCTTAGGTACACATAATAAAGCAATCGAATAATTCATATATATATGTGAGATAAAATAACACAAAAATTGTGAAATTACCATTATTTTAAGTAAAAAAATGTATTTTTTTAGCTTATTATATGCATAACATAAATTATGCGTATTTGCAATAATAACGCTTGATATGTACACAGACTAATGCAATAATAATCCAACGTTAAACCCTATAGAATATTATTAATATTAAGCAAATTGAGCAAATACACACGCTTTTATCATAATCCCTACAAATGGCCAAATATTGAGACATAGCAAGAGTTTTATGCTGATTGGCTAAAATTTAATTTGATAGTTGGCTGTCTGGGAAATACAATGTTACTTAATGATTTCTTAAAGAATTATACTACAGTAGTGTCTCTCACCGTTGGAGTATCTTCTTGTGTCAGATGGGCAGACATTTGTATTAAGAATGACTAGGGACCATGGTACTAAGACAACTTAGTACCATGACTAGGGACGATACTTATACGGTCCTTTATATTAAAACAGCCGTTAAACTTTCCTCGCTACATATGCTGACGTTCGACAAAATTCGGATTTAAGAGAGGGGTTTACAACAGCATAAGTGTATGGCAATAAAACGAAAGATAATACAATTGATTATAAAATAATTCCTATCAGGGCCGCACCAAGTGTTTTTGCCGCCGGGTGCAATTAAAAGCTTGCCGCCCCATAAAGGAAAAAAAATCTTAAAAGCACTATCTTAACTTAATCAAATTAGTATGTATGTATTCTGGATCTGCTCCGTGTTGTCGGTTTTTGGTTCTTAAAAGAACCGTATGTCTGACGACGTTTCGGTACAATCTCATGTAACATCTTCAGGTCTCATATGCTGGGCTGCTGTTGCTGCTCTGCTGCGAGTTAGACGTGAACGTGTAACATTACAAAATAATTTACTAGAACTACCCCTAAAAGCTAGGTTTTGCTTAGCTAAAAATTTAACAACCGATATAATTCTTCCTAAGACAGAACATCATCTTTTCTGT